TTAAAAATGAATGGTTATATTTGCTTTTCCAAAATCTTATTTTTTTCCTGAATAACACAATGTACACAAGTGAATATAAACAACATGGTTCGTACATATCTAATAGCAAAGTATGGTTTCCCATGAATTGCTAAATTCTGATTATTTCATAATTTTAAATACAATTATTTTAATAATCATTTGATATTTTAAATGAACTACATTTAGGCAATAAAAGTCAGAAGCCATAAATCTAGGAGGCTAATAATTTTCTGTCAGTTTGCTAACTGACGCTATATTATTGTGAACTAATGTTAACTAAAATAAAATCTTGCTTACCTTTCTGGACAAAACACACAGGAATAGGAAAATGAACATCCCTTGGAAGGCATTGCTGACTGTGAAAAGGTATGCTGTCACCACGGAAGCATGCACCACGTGTAGAACCCCGAAGATCCAGGTGGTACCCAGAAGGAAGAGGAGAGCGAGGGCCCCCCTAGCACAAGACCTGGAGTGCGTTTGGAATGTTTCAGTGAGGAAAGGCAGCATGGCCCCACACCCCAAGATCTTCAAATGCTCTGTGAAGCACATTATTCTACAACTAAGGAACCATTTCTAAAAGATTTATTTTTATTACTTTTAAATTATGTGTATGTGTTTGTGTGTGGTATGTGCATGAAAGTCTAGGTGCCCACCAAGGTGTTGGATCCTCTAGAGCTGCATGTGGGTGCTAGGAACCAAATTTAGGTCTTCTGCAAGAACAGTGAGTGCTCTTAACTGCTGAGCCATCTCTCCTGCTCCAAACTGGGAAATCTTTTACAAAGACCATAAATGACTTAGACCCTGACAAGTTTTCCTTCAGCTGGATGGAAGAGCCTTTAATGTAAGCTACTATTTGTTTCCAGGATGTGCTTCAAAAATCAAGGTTCCATTGCTAATGTCATTTTAAAGGAAATATTTAGTCTTAAAATATTTTAAACTGGTATATTTTGACTTCAGATATATTTGTGGCAATACTCCCTCAAGGCAGGACACACATGTCTCTGTTAAAAAGAGCATCCATGTGGACTTGGATCAGCCTGCACTTATGATGTCAAAGGCAGATCTGCCTTCCTTTCTTTCAGGTTTAGTAGTGAAGAAAGTACAGGATATGACTAGATTATTGTTATTGCTTTTGCAAGGTAGTGACTTCAAAATAAATTTATTTTAGAATAGTAATTCCTTAGAAATTAGAGGAAATTTACACATATATATTTAGCCATCCATATATATATATGTATGTATATTTGGTCTTTTTGAGACAGGATCTCCCTGTAGCCCCAGCTGTCCTGGAACTCACTATGTAGACCAGGCTGGCCTTGAACTCACAGAGATCCGCCTCCCTCTGCCTCCGAGTGCTGGGATTAAAGGCGTGCGCCATCCATAATTTTAATGGAAATTTTTTCTCCCTGGGGACACAGCCGGAAGAATGAAGTATCTGATGTCCATCTGTCACTCATCTCCAGGCCAGTCAGTACTGAACGAGGTGTTTCAGCAACGTGCCTCAGAAAATGAGTTATTTTGAACTTTATCAAAGCCAGTACACAACATGAAACTAGAATATTTGAGGACTGAAAGAGAGTAATTGATCAAACATCTGCTCAGTCTCAACGATAGCCCTCGTGTAAGGTACTGAGGAGTGCCCCCAAGCAGCACAGAGACGCAGGGTTTCCCAAGCTTCCACTTCAACTGTTTTTGAACAAACCATTTTCAAAGTGTCAATAAATCAGTCTTAAAGAGAGACAGTTAAAGGGAAAATTATGGAAACATGTTACCTCTGTATTACAAGAAAGGAGTATTTGCTAAACTCTGAGAAATGACTTATTAAACAACCATTAAGGTTTATTTTTGGCTTAAAACAATTATCTTTTCCCCTTCAAATGGCGGTGCCTTTGAAAACATGGCTTCACTTATTTAACATCTGATGTTTGTACTTTTATTAAATGTATTAAATATTTTTTTGAATGCATAATTTAAGTATGGTGGAAGAAAATATGAATTGATTATTGAAAAACATAATCACCCCAATTATTTGTACTTTTAGTGAATAAGGGACCAAGAGTGTCATTCAATGATTGGATGCTTGCCTAGCATATCAGAGGCCATGGGTTCGAGTCCCAGAACCAGAAGAAAGCAAGAAAAGTGTTGCTAAAACTTTAAATTAAACTTGAAGGAACCCTCACCTTATGTTTTCGTAGCAACTAACTTCCGGCTTCAATCCAGCAGTGTGACGAAAAACTTTGTATATGATAACTCCAAAAGCCAAGAGATTAACCTGGGGAAATACATTGATTTCAAAAGATAGATCCTCTTCATGGTACATTCTGATATATGTAAAGGCAATAAGCAAATAGTAAAAATATAAATAACATAAAAATTCTGAAAACTCGAGGTACATATGCATGGCGACAAATTCTGTGGTTGATTTTGACAACGTCATGGAATATTGTTAGTATACATTGTAGATAGTGTAACTACCATGTTTTGGTGAGCAGAAAATACTTAAGATGTTATAACTACAACCATAGACTGATAGGTTTCATCTGACATCAGCAATAGGATTAGTATATACTTTAAAATGATTTTTCACTTGATAAACTTATATAAACACTTGAGAAAACAAATTTTAGTTCATTCTTTAAGATTATTTTATTTTTACTTTATATGTATGAGTGTTTTGCTTGCATGTGTGTAAATGCACCTGTGTCATGCAATGTCCACAGGGGCCAGAAAGGGGTGTGTTGGATCCCCGGAACTAGAATTTCAAACTTTTGTTATCCATCATGTGGGCTCCCACATGGAACCAAACCCAGGTCTTCTGCAAGAGCAGCCAGTGCTCTTAACCACTGAGCCATCTCTCCATCTCTACTCACTCTTTTTAAAAAAATATATTTATTTTAAGTGTGTGTGTGTGTGTGTGTGTGTGTGTACCCACAGAAGCCAGGGGTATTAGAGCCCCTGGAGCTGGAGTTATAGGTTGTTGTGAGTGGTCAGACATGGATGGCATGGATGCTGGGAACAGAACTCGGGTCCTAAACAAGAGCAGCGAGCACTCTGAACTACTGAGTCATCTCTCCAGGCCCTCTTCACTGTTTCTTTGCAAAGAAATTTTGTAAATAATTCTCTCAACTCTGATAATTTAATTTGAGAAGGAAATTAGAAAACTCAGAAAAACAACTCAGTCTCTACTGCTAGAAGAACTCTGAATGCACTCTCTTCCATGGGGTTCATCTAGTCATCTCCTCCAACATTGCATTGGGCTTTCTTTCCCCAGATAAAAATCTCGGAAGATTTTAAAATCTCAGAAGCCTTAAGTAATGCCAATAAATGAAAGAAACGTTTGTTGCTAGGAAAAGAACTGTTCTTGATGAACTCATTTTTTTTTTTTTTTTTTGTTTTGAGGCAGGCTTTCCCTGTAGCCCCAGTTCACCTGGAAGTTCCTATGTGGACCAGGCTGACCTCAATCTCACAGAGATATGCCTGCCTCTGCCTACCATGTCCAGCTACTATTTATATTTTATGCTGTGCTAAGTAGAATATGCGGTTCTTATTTCTTTTAATGTGACTGAATTGTGAAAGTGTATTTTCTCTTTCATTTCCCATGGTTTCGAAAGTTTTTAAGACAAACTTGGCAGTGTTCAAACCTTGAAGCCATATCTATCCTAAGTATACTAATGACTAAAACATTAAATATTATAGAAGTAATTAATACATTAATATTTTACTAAATA